TGGATTATTGAGGTATTTGTTCACCAATATCGCCTACCAGTCGTTGCAGCGTTTCCTTCGGTAGGAGTTAATTTATGTGCATAATTAGTTCTAAATTCTTGGTGGGGCTCTAGGGGCTCCATGGGGGCTTGCCTCTCGCAAGGACCCGCCCCTAGATTCCAAACAGACTGAGTACTAAGAAACAGTATGAAGCGTTAGGAATTCAACAGACGTGGCACGAAAACTCCTTTCAAATATAATTCGAGGCAACAAACCAGCCTGCAGAATGAATATGATCATGTCTATGCTTTTCTATTTGGCCGCCAAATATGACCATGTCTTATATGACTTTGTATTTGCAATTCGCAAAGACAGGTATATCATCTTCTGATTGATGATACTGTTTTACTAGGCTAAAGGAACTTTCATGAAATCAGATTTGAAAGGAGAAATGGGATATTGGAGGAACCTCTCCGAAAACTGTATGCGAGCCATTGGGTTACTATTTTTTTTGGTTGTGGAAGGGAACTTGTGAAGATCCATAAGGTTCTCTATTGCTAACTCCTCCTTGGTTCCTATGAGTCATTGGGTTGTTCGATACCTTAGCCGATTCAGTGAATATTTGATTTTTGTGTTCTGTGTTGTGGTGATGAGGAGGAGCAACATTTGTGGCGATGCATAGCAGCACTTGCTCTCCAAAAAAGAACAACAAGCACACTAATAGGCTGTCCAAGATTGTATACTTGCATGTTTTGCTCCACTTTAATGTGAGGTAATTTCAAGCTCAGCTGGGGCAAAATATATAGAACACCAAATTCCCTTCCTTTTTGTTGTCATAAAGGAATCAGATTTGTTGTACAACTTTGTGGCTTCCAAGATCATTTGCTAGCCCATTGCTGTCTAGTTTCATGACTCGCTCCTTCATGTGTTTCATGCCTGTGTACAACCTATGGTGATATTTCCATCGCCTCCACCAGGGGCGGAGGACTCGGTAGGCGATTCCCTGCGAATCCCCTCCCCTAAATCGCTGCCCAGTTGTTCCTTCCGCTAATCCGCCATATAGACGAAAAACAGCCCTGAACAACGATGCGAGGAAGAAGAAACTGCGGTATGTGGTCTGCGAACCGGTATTTTGGGCCTTTGTTCTTTGGGCTGGCACATCCGTCTGGGCCGTGTCGCGTGTGTAGGCAGTGAAAGCGTACTCTCTGGCCGCAACGACACTTCAGTTTCCTGACTAGGCGACTTTTCGTCATCCCGTCTCGGTTGTCCCGTGCTTCCTCCCATCTGCGACTCAGCCCTAGGCTCCCCGCGGCCGGCAGGTGGATTTGACATGCAACGCGCGGCGACTTGGCAAACTGCCAGGCAAGACAACGCCATGCCCGGCGGCACTGCAGTCTGCGCAGCACCGAAGCAGATCAGCCACCAGCAGATCATGGTGCATGCTGGGCCGTAGCGCTGCATCACGTAATCATCCCATCCGCATGAGTCATCAAAGTAAATTACTTGTTCTTTTAAATCACCGACTATTTGTTCTTTTTAAATTGTTGTTTGTTTATTTTTACTTTAATTTCTTGTTGAATTTGGTTTATTAATATGTGGACCAGTGAAATTAATTAAGCAAAGATAGATCCAAAAGTAAAGAGGAACCCGTGTAAAATTATAAACGTTTTATTTTGAATATATCTATGCTTTTTTATTTCGCCATACCTAGAATTTTTTCGGTCCTCCACCACTGGCCTCCACCTTGAGCGACATATGTTTTGATAGCACAATTTTATCTCTATTGCTATGGTTGCATGTCTCAGGATTAAAAAGAATGAGGGGTGCCAAAAAACTGTTATGGCCATGTTCTCTACTGCTACAACGGTACGGTACAGCCTGCTGCTGCCACTAATATTTCTCTTTTTTTTTTGTTGCGAACAACTTTTGCTCGTGAGATTCGGCAGGAGGGATGGTAAAGTATATCCTGTACAATTTATTAATCTGACAACATCCTTTTTTTACAAATTGAGAGATTGGTTCTATGTCCTTGTCAAGGGTCCTTTAGGATCTGGTTGTTCAAAACTTCAAATTTACTATAGTTATGAACTTATGATAGTGCCGTATCAATTCAAGAAATATCATTCGTAGGAAATATAAAGAAACGTTGGATATTATAATCTACACCTAATATTAAAGAGGCAAAATTTCTATCATATATTTTTTTTCATCCAGCCTACTTTCCCATGTTCTTTTTCTCTATCCGCCTTCGTGTTTGTTACATGTCCGCTTGTTGTTTGTGTTTTTCTCTTCTCTGTAGAGAGATGGAATTGGGCCAACAGCGTTTGTATTGCATTGCTGTGGGTATAAATACATGTACATCGCAGTTACAGAGCGCGTGCACGTGTGGAGCGCGCGACGCAGGTCGCTGGCGACGCCGTGGCCACCGCGCCTGACCACTAACAAAACTGAGTGCCTCAACCCCCCGACCCACCCCACCCACACCCACACACAGTCTATGGGGTAGTCGCTATGGGTACAACGCATAGAGTGGAGCAGAACGCCTCGAATTCGAAATCAGCAAGCCCTTGGTCGTCACTTCGGCGTGCTGCTCACCGGTGGGCACGTGAAGAACGCGAAGTTCGCCGACCTGAACGCATTCTCGGACGAAGTGGATGTCCAGCTCAATGTGCTTGGTTCGCTTGTGGTGCACCGGGTTCGCGGACATGTAGACGGCCGAGACATTATCGCAGCACGCGACGGTCGCCTTGGAGATCCCACAGCCAAGCTCGCCGCAAAGTTGTCGCAGCCATATGCACTCGGCGACGGCGTTGGCGACGGTGCGGTATTCAGCTTCTGCGCTGGAGCGAGACCGTCGGTTGCCTCTTGGACGACCAGGAGATGAGGGCATTCCCCAAGAATACGCAGAAGCTGGATGTCGAGCGTCGTATGTCCGGGCAGTCGGCCCAGTCGGCGTCGGAGTAGGCAGTGATGGCGAGATCCGCCGAGGCTCGGAGGTGGAGACCGAGGTGACTGGTGCCGCGGACGTATCGAAGAATGCGCTTGAGCAGTGCCTGGTGAGGTCCGCGTGGATCGTGCATATGGAGGCACGCTTGCTGGACAGCGAACGCAAGATCCGGGCGCATGACATCGAGGTATTGCAGGGCGCCGCCAGACTGCGATATGCCTTGGCGTCGTCAATCTTGGGGCCGTCGGCTGAAAGCTTCCCTTTGGCGTCGATGGGGTCATCGCAGCCTTGCAGTTCGCCATCCCAGCAGCGCTCAAGGATGTCTTCAGCGTGCGGTGTTGGGACAGGTGGAAGCCAGTGGTGTCGCGCTTGACATCAATGCCGAGGAAGAAGCTGAGCTCGCCGAGATATTTGACGGCGAACTTCATGGCGCGCAGACGGTCGACGATTTGCTGGAGCAGTGATGCGTGCCGGAGCCGGTGAGCACAGTGTCGTCGACGTAGAGCAGTAAGTAGGCGACGGCGTGGCCGCGGCGCAGCACGAACAGCGACGAGTCTGAACGAGTCGGTGTGAAGCCGAGGCCGATGACGAAGGTGGCGAAGCGGTTGAACCATGCTCGAGGTGCTTGATGGAGACCATAGAGCGATTTGTCAAGGAGACAGACCGCATCAGGCTGCGACGCATCGACGAACCCGGGAGGTTGCTGACAAAGCACGTGTTCGTCCAGATGGCCATGGAGGAAGGCATTGGAGACATCGAGCTGCCGAGTAGGCCATCGTCGAGAAGCCGTGATCGTGAGCACCGAGCTGATAGTGGCCAGCTTGACCACCGGCGTGAATGTTTCCCCAAAATCAACACCGCGCGCGCTTGAGTGAATCCGCGAACGACCCATCATGCCTTGTAGCGCCGAGAGAGAGCCTTTGGGGTTGAGTTTGTGCTTAAACACCCACTTGCCGGAAATGACATGAGCCCCGAGTGGACGATCAACCAAGCGCCGTGTACGGTTGGATGGAGGGTGCGGAACTCGTGTTCCATGGCGGCATGCGATTCGGATCCCTGGAGAATGACACGGACAGAAGAAAGCTCTGGAGAAATGGGTTCGCGCGGCGAGGTGGCCTCAGTAGCAAGAGCATATTGGGGGTTAGGTTTATGATGGCAAAGCGAGCGAAGGAGGGGAAGAACTGCCCGCTGATCCCGTGGCTGAGATAGGTGACGTCGAGGCCAGGTGCGCAGCAGACGGCGCGACAGACGGGGATTGTTCCGAGGTGGAAGACGCGGTCGGCTGATCGCCAAAGGCCAGAGAAGCATCGTCTGATGCCGTGGAGGCCGGAGAAGCATCATTTGCTGTCTGGAGGACGACAACCTCTGTTGTCGGATGATGAACAGTTGTTGGAGCCGGCGCGGACACAGCGGGCGCGTTTCCAAAGGGGAAGGTGTGCTCATCGAAAACGACTTGCTTGGAGGTGATGACACGCCAGGTCGAGAGATCCAATCAGCGGTAACCGCGATGATGCGCGGGGTATCCCAAGAGGACATAGGTGGATGATCGGCGCTGAGTTTTTGTGTGTAGTCGTGGTTGCTTGATTGGGAAAACAGAGACAGCCAAAGACTCGAGATGATCATAGGTTGGGGAGCACCAAGCAAGCGTTGAAAAGGAGTAAGGGGCTCCTTTGGTTTGGCATGGGTGAAGATTAAGGGGCTCCCTTGGTAACACCTGGCCGCCTCTACAAATCGATTTGTAACGGCGGGGTGGGAACCGGCCCTACAAATGCATGATTTGTAGAGACGGTATGATAAGGGCGGCTGGCCGAGCTGCCTCTACAAACCATCGCTAGCCGCCCCTACAAATGCTTATTGTAGTAGTGTCCATGGCCTAGGGGCCGCCTGGTGGAACGCCGGAGTTCGCTTGGGTGGCGAGCATGGCCTGGTGATTCCAAATGTAGTTGGAGGGTGGCGCCGGTGGGGGAGTAGGTGCAGACATCTAGGGCGGCGGACCGGCGAAGAAAGCCTGCTGAGGAGGGGTACCGGGGCGCGGACAGAGGACGTTGGCGCCAAGCATGCGGAAGGGCATGGACTAGGCCAGGACCATGCTGGTCCATGGGTTCAACCCAGGGGTCCAAGCCGTTCCTGGAGCGCGAGGCGGCTGCCCAGAGCCATAGCCGCCGTGGGGGCCGTTGCCGCCCCCACGGCCCTTCTTGCCACGTCCACGATTCGAGTCAGAACGTGGGGTTGTGGGGGGCGTGGACCGCGAGCTGGAGCTGGAACCGCCATCGCCTTGGGAGGAGGGAGCGGAGCCGTGAGTGCCGCCGCCGGTTGCGACAAGAGCCTGATGCTGTGCCGCCTTGTCATGCTCGTGGTCGTACTTCTCCTCCAACAGTAAGTACGAGCGAGCCGAGAGGAAGGTGTGAGGTGGGTTCTCGGTGGCGATGACCGGAACGGCGTGGCGGAACTTGGAGTTGAGGCCACGAAGCATGTTGAGCACCTGGCTCGTCTCCCGGACAGGTTGCCTGAGGTCGCGCAGAGCATCGGCAAGCTGTTTGAGCCGACCGGTGTAGGCGGCGATGTCCATGTCCTCCTGAACGAGACTGCAAAACTCAGCCTCGAGGTAGACGGCGTGATGCAGCTCGTTGTCGCGGAACTGCTCATGGATGGAGTTCCTGATGGTGTAGGCAGTGGAGCGCGGAACACGAACGAGGGCGCGGACATCCTTGGACACCGAGTTGTAGAGCCAGCTGAGGATGCATTGGTCGCGCATCACCCACTCGCGATCACGGCGGTTCTTGGGGGTTGGCGGAGAGGAGAGGTGAGAACGGAGGCCGAACTTCCCAATGAAAGCATCGAAGAAGCAACGCCATTAGGCGTAGTTGGAATCGGCGAGGTCGAGCTCAACGGGGATGTGGGATTTGATGTTGACGGTTTGTAGGATGGCCGCCGTGGGCATGGCGACGGCGGGCCGGACATCATCGATAGAAGAGGTGTAGGTGGATTCGGAGTTGGCATCGGAGGAATTGGGGAGATCGTAGAGAGGGTTGGACGCCAGATCCATGGTGGGCAAGGGGAAGAAGGCAGAAGGTGCAGCGGAGAAGAGGGAGGCCGATTGGCGACGGCGGATCGGCGACGGTGAGCCCGGCAGCGGAGGCGATGGAAAGCGAGGCTAGGATCGAGTAACCGCGCTAGCTGATACCATGTAGAGAGATGGAGTTGGGCCAACAGCGTTTGTATTGCATTGCTGTGTGTATAAATACATGTACATCGCAGTTACAGAGCGCGTGCGCGCGTGGAGCGCGCGATGCAGGTCGCAGGCGACGTCGTGGCCACTGCGCCTGACCACTAACAAACCTGAGTGCCTCAACATTCTCGTTTTTTTGTTTCGGTTTATATCGTTCCTTTTTTTTTGTTTGGCTGATTGGCTCGTTTTTTTTTCCGTTTCTTCCTGTTCCAATCTGTGGTGATTGGCTCGGTTTGTGTTTTCTGATTTATTTTTGTTTCCACTTAGATTTTCTCTTTGCAACTTTTCTGTTGCTCACTGTTTTTGGGTCTGATTTTTTACCTATTCTTTCGCTACAACAGTTTTGATTAGACACAAAACTGATATTCTTATTAAAATCTAGATTAGTTGATGGTCAGAATTGAAATATTAAACACTTATTGTCTAATTCGTTTAAATAAACATATCTATGTAATGTACGATAAGAGCTCTCATGTGAAAAATCGAGATAGGTTTCCCATTATAATCATGGCCAGACACACCAATCCTTGACACGTGTGCAACAAACTTCTTGTCGACTTTAGTTAGATATGAAAATTTCTTCCGTTATAATCATGGGTATGGTGGACATACCTTGACACGTGCGCAACAAACTTCTTGCCGACTTTAATTAGATATGAAAATTTACATATTTTTATGGGTCCTCAAAGAAAGTCACGGAGCTCCATATTTAAGTGTAGCACCACATAAATAGTATGAAAATTAAAGTTACGATATATTTGGGTCTAAATATTTTTGTGCTTTACAACCGGAGAAGAACTATCATATAATTTTATTTTCATTGGATTAATAGGACATTGTCAAAATATTGTCAATGTTAACTTATATTATGGATGTCATGGTCATCATATAGTAAATTAGATTTAAAATTTTATATAAAGGACAAAATGTAAATAGACATATAACATCCACTACCGGAAACTGGGTCTAAGCCGAGTGCAAAAATGTTTGCAAAGTGCATTCTATCGGACACTCGGTAAACAAGTTTTTTGCCGAGTGCTATAAAATAACACTCAGCAAAATAATTACACTCGGCAAAAGAGGCAAAAAAACACTCGGTAAAGTTCGACACTCGGTAAACAAGAAAAAAAAACACTCGGCAAAGAACCGCCACGTGGACAACCGTTAGTCCATGTGCCATCCGTTAGTACGTTTGCTGAGTGTCCGTTAGTGGAAACACTTGGCAAACAAATACACTCGGTAAAGAAATATGTTTGTCGAGTGTATTTGTTTGGTACTCGGTAAAGAAATATGTTTGTCGAGTGTATTTGTTTGGCACTCGGCAAAGAAATAAGTTTTTTTTCTCTTCTGCCCTTGAAACTTTTTCTGCTCTCCACATACAACATGTGGTACTCCATGTTAAGATTTGGTATATTTTTTGACATGTTTGCTATATTTAATTAATTTATTGTATTTTAAAGAATTTTTTGGTATAAGTCAAATTTGAACCGCAAGTGATTCAAATAATAGAATAAAATAAGTAGAAAAATGATATTCATGTTATTAAGTCCATTGTGAGGCCTTACTCGAGAAATAAAAAGAAATTTCGAACATCTTGTTGAGGAAACACAATCACAAATGTGTGGCCGAATGATTTTTAAATTCTAAAAAAAACAAACGAAATCTGAAAATCACAAGATTTGTCATGATGTGATGATATCATACGTGGAGGCTGTGGTAAAAAATTGAGAAGGTTTCTAATAATTTGTCACGTAAGATGTTTACAAACCGAAGCATCTCACAAGAAGAATCATAGCGTTGAGAAGGATTCGGTAAGATTTAGAGTCAAAGTGATGGTCGAATTGGGGTTTGGCTTCAAAACTTTTTGTATAGGCAATAGAGAACATAGATTGTTTCATGTGAAATTTTGGTAATTTTTTGGATTTGTTTGATAATTTTAATTTATTAAGTGCAATTATAGAATTTTAATTGATATAAATTAAATTTGAGCTGTAACTGCATAAAATAATGGAATAATATTTCTAGAAAAATCAAACATATATTGTTGAGTCAATTTGACAAGGTATTTTCAAAGTACATCGGAACAAATTGAAAAAAACACAGCCTAGAAAAGAAGGAGAAGAAGGAAAATGAAAAAAATAGGTTTGCCGAGTGCCTAATATCTGGCACTCGGCAAACCGGCTCGCCCCACACACGCACACTAGTTTAGGGTTTGAAAATGAAAAAAAAACAAAATGTGTTCGCCGAGTGCTAGATCATGGGCACTCGGCAAACCTCCTGATAACCACCCTAGGCCGGCCTCACCCACACGCACACACACAGCCACCGCACGCACACACGCATCCCGCCACCGAACCCTGCCCCCGGCGTCCGACTGCCGGCGCCCGGCCCCCGCCGCCCCCAGCATGCCTGCCCCCGTCCTCCCGGAGCCCCATCCCCGGCACGCCCGCCGCCGGCCTCCCGGAGCCCTATCCCCAGCGTGCCCGGTGCCCCGCCCTCGGCCACCGCCGCCCTAGGACCCCGGCGCCCTGCCCCCAGCCGCTGCCGCCCCAAGACCCCCCTACCCCCCGGTGGCCGGCGCCCTCCCCTCGGCGTCCTCTACTCGACTTGGTACTTCTCACATTTGAATGACGTCCATGCTAGTATACCGCAAGCACTGTATTGCCAAATGGCAGATACTATAAAATTTGGAGACCGAGGGTAAACATTTAGCATGACAGACAAACAATTTGTTTAGACTTTAGACGGCGCTATAGCGCCTAGATAGGGTCATTATTTTAGCATGATCATTACCTCTTTTTCTTGTCATGTAATGAGCATTAGAGTTAACGATTAGTTTCATCTTCTTACAGCCCATTAAGTTCCTAAAACATGAAAAGTTTCAGATAGAAAAATTGGATGCCCAGCTTGGATGTTTCGTTGCAACACAAACTAAATCAGATGATTAGGGCCAAACAAACCATGTATATTTGTCGCTAGTTGTCCTATGTCCAAACTCCTGATTGAACATGCAACACTTTGTAAGGTGAGAAAATTTGCACTCATAGCATGAGGAGAACGTGTGAAAGACAACAATCAACCTATGCTCTAGCTAGATGCAGGAGTGCAGGCAGACAACTAAGATGTGCATGTGGTTGTCGGCCATCATGTCATTGGTTTGGTGTGTATGTGGTTGTCAGCCATCATGCCGTTGGTTTGTTGCAGGTTTTGGTTACCTCACCGTGCAGGGGAGGTGCTGCCGAAATTTACAATTGGCACTATTATATTCGTTTGTTGCAGGAGAGACTATTACAAAGATCATTCCCCACCGTCCTCGACTCATCACTTTGCAGGACAGCAAGGTGAGGCATCATACACCCCTCTTTCCGTATGATGTTCGTATATCACGTAGCCTAGCTAGGCGTCTCCTGTTCTAAAGAGACGCCGTTGGAAATATGCAGATCTTTGCATATCTATAACCGTATCTGTTTCGAATTGTCCACGTTTTTTGGACAGTCTGAGGATGTGTAGATGGGGTTAGTTCCATGCTCTACTCTGATCCGAGACAGAGTTTCGGTAGCATCTCCCTATTGTTCTCCGGATACACAATCTCCCTGCCAGGACGTGTATTTAGAGAACAACGGGGAGATGCTGCCGAAATTCTATCTCGATAGGAGTAGAGCATGTAAACTAACCACATCTACACATCCTTAGGTGGGATTAGGACCTATCTTTACCTATTAGACCACCACGTAGGAACCTGTAGATGCAATTGATTTTTATATTACTTGCTGATATGTTAGAGGATGGATGACCGTGAGTGGATGTACACGGGCCGCTCTAGTCAAGGTTCGTTCACCGATGAATGGATTGAGAAGACCGATGCTTTCTTAGAACTAGCATTTGCAAGGGTTAAAGGAGCGCATGCCACTTGGTGGCCCTGCAGCATTTTTGCAAACACGCGTCGACAAACAAAGGTGGTCATGGGTAAACATCTTTGCAAGAATGGATTTACGGCGGACTATACCCGGTGGATCTATCATGGTGAATCCGATCATGTGAGAGACGAGGTCGTGAGACAACGCATCGAGGATTATGATGCCGATGCTGGGGTAGGAGACATGTTAAATGACTATCATGAAGCACACTTTGATGAAGGACGTAGGGAGGAGGAGCCAGAGGCAACCGTAAAGGCGTATTACTATATGTTGTCTGCGACACAGCAACCCCTTCACGGGCATACCAAGGTTTCTCAATTGGATGCCATTGCACGCCTAATGGCTATAAAGTCTAAATTTAGCTTGAGTCAAGAAGCCTTCGATGTTGTGCTGACAGTTTTTGGTAGACTGCTCCCGGATGGTCACATCCTGCCAAAGAGCATGTATGAGGCATAGAAACTCCTTCGTGCACTTATGATGTCATATGAGAAGATACATGCTTGTCCGAAGGGATGCATCTTATTTAGGAAAGAACATGCGGAAGCAAAGTACTGTGTGAAGTGTAAATCCTCTAGGTTCCTGGAGGTAGACTCTGGTGATGGTCAGAAG